AGAAGTTGGAGTCTGGAGAACAGGTCTTAAACAGAGATTGGAAAAGTTTACCAATATTTCTTTTGTGATTATCGTTCAAAAGAACTTTTCATGTAAGGCTGGGTTAACTAGTCAAACGTATATATCCAAAGATTAGTACCTCAATTTAAGGACTCCTGGTAGTGCACTGCTGAAGCATTCAGCTGCTAACTGAAGGTAGGTGGTTCCAACTTAGCAGTGTTTCCACGAGAGAAAGGACCTGGTGATCTGCTCCAGGGAAGAGGGCAGTCTAGGAAATGACTGTTTCCCACCCCGGGAGGTGGGGCAGTTCTGCTCTGTCCCAGGGGGTCCAGATGAGCCAACACCGACTCAACAGCACCCACCCAGCAGCAACAATGTGTATCATTTTAGAAAAAGATAAAAATTACTCTAGAAGATTCAACTAAGCATTTGTGAGACCCTGATAACTCTCTTGCCCAAAGATAATGATCATTAATACTTCGGTGTAAAATCTACCAAACCCTGAAAATCTCCACACATAGATAACACGTGAACAAAGGAGCCCTTTGATAGTTTGCAGGCATTTTCCTCTTTGGGGCGTTGGGAATCTTCTCAGTTTGTCAGTACAGGTGTGGCCATCTTGGTACATGTGTCTATGGAGGAGCAATTCCTGAAGTGAAATTCCTGGGTCAGAGGGTGAGTTTTTAAAGAAAATGCTGTGATCAAACACATGAAACGAAGAGCTGTGGTTTCAGCCACTGTCAGTGTATAGTCGGTGGCACTCATTGTTCCCCATGTTGTTCTGTCTCCTTCTTATTCCCCACACAGAAACTTGGTGGCTTCAGCAGCCACTTCCCATCCCTTTCTCTGGCCCACCTGGTAACCTCGCTTCTGCTGTAGTCTCTGCGCTCTTACTCTTACTCTGGAGAGCTGACTGCCTGCTCTTTTGTACCTGACTTGTTTCACTGCGCGTGTCTCTGTGGTTCTTCCACATCACAGCCTGAGCTCCTTCTGTACACCACTGGATCCCTGTTGCCCGCTGGCCTCTCGGGAAAAATGTGCCCATCTTCCTTCTCAGGAACCACATAAGACAGTGGCGCATAGATCCCCTCTTCAAATGGGGACATAACCTCTCCAACTTGACAATGAGAGAGAGAGTCTCTATCTGTGTCACCAAGCTGCAAGCAAACAGGAGTTCCGTCTGAGCAGTATCATGGCCCCACCTAAGTCTGCGTGTTAGACCTCAAAGCATGAGCTTAGATTTGCAGTCACTGGTAGCCAACCAGGCCCAGGAAGAGGCCCCAGTGGATTTACTTGGAGACCAAAGATCACACTGAGAATTTCAGAGTTGGTGCAGCAGAAATGGCTGGAGTGGTAGTGAGATTCATGCTAATGAGCTATAAATAATCAATCAACACCTATTAGGGCAGCATATGGGCTCTCCCTGATCACAGGAACTTACTGTCTGGAAGCGACCAGTCACCCCACTGCTCTGGTACGTGGTGGCTGCCTGAGAACCTGAGAGGAGGTCAAGTGTGACGCGAACTAGCAGGCATGCAGCCAGTTGTTCCCAGACAGCTAAAACCCAGATGCAAAACCTCCGGTCACACCCCACAAGCTGCCGCCATGGCTTCTCAGCACCCGTGCGTGTTTTATCCATGTGGTCTTATCCTTCACCCGCGAACACCCACAGGC